CAAATTGATTCATGAATAAGACTTACAGTGGAACATAACTGGCTCCATTGGGCCGTCGACATACTGCAGAAAGTATAAGAGAAAAGAACTGATGTGCAGATACAGAGCATCCATAGCGCTTGACACTTTCTAATAGCAATTGTATCCTAGCGCCCGCAATTATTAATGAAACATTATCACGAGTATTGTCATTATTTCTGGATAACCGACACCACGAATCAGTTAGATATCACCTCCTATCCCAATTAACGAATCAATTACTGATATCATATGACTCATTATCATGAGGGTAGTCCAACTTGGGTGGTTGCTATATGTGATACATTGTAATGATTCTTGTGGTCTGTATCTACAGTAATAGATGACAGTTTATATAATGAACAGTTTATATAATGCACTGTAACATAAAGACTGTATTATAATGACAGTATATATAATGGACGTATAATATTACAGTATATATACTGTATATTATAATGACTGTTAATATAATAACAGTATAATATGAGTATATAATGACTAGTATATAATTACAGATATATGCACTGTATAATATGATATATATAATACTGTATATATATGAACTGTATAATAATGACATAAATACTGAAGATAATAACAGTATATAATGACTGTATATATAATGACAGTATATATAATTACAGTATATATAATGACGGCGGCGAACAAAACACTTAATTCAAGGCTTAAAAACGGTTCTCCACAATGCGAAGGGGGACGTTATGATGGGTTCACAGTTGGTCTGATTACTGACGAGTATTTACAGTTTCTATTATTGTTAATGCTATTATCAATATGTTTCTCCTGCTGTAGATGGTGGTCTGTGTGGTCTCTGCCCAGAGGACACACCGTCTCTTTCTCGATGGTCTTCAGCAGTGGAACTCGGCTGCTGGTGAACGTTGGTGAAGAACTAACTGATTGTGATGAAGATGATCTTCATCATCATCGAGACAAGACAACAGGTAGTCTTCTTCTTCCAGTTCAAAAGCAGATGTGTCATCTTCCCAGTCAGTGTTGGTGTCTTTGTAGAGGTTTTGTGTCTTTTTGTGGTTGTTTTGCATCTCTTTGTAGTTTTGTAACTTTCCTACAACAACGTCTCTTCATGCAGGGGTTCTGATGAAAAGCCCACTTCCTATCACTTTCTGATTGTGGAACATAATCCAGCAGGGCAAAAGATAATGAAATACCAGGCTTTATCTGGATATACAGTTACATATCATCTGCTTAAGAACAATATTATGTCTGTGGAAGACAACAGATAATTGAATGTATCACAGAGAATTCACCAAACCAACTGTTTTATTTTGGAACATATCCAGATAGTTCACAAAGCTGGTTCAATTATATTCTTAAATATTAAATTGTATAGAAATTATTAATTAATAATTAATAATTCATCTATTTCCCTATTTTACAACAACTAATGATTTTCCTGCCTGCTGTGAATCACTTTGTAAATTTGAAAAGTAAAAGTATATAAAGTAAAGTAAAAGTAAAGTATATAATATAATATATTATACATAAAGTATTATTTTGTCCATGCTGCCTGCAGGTCCTGGTCCATCTGTCCAGATTTTATCGTCCCTCCCGCTCTCTCAGGATCCACAATCTTCTCACCTGCTGGTCTGCCTCCTCACTGGATTAAACTCGCCTCTTCAGGATGTCCTGTGGTGGGTCGATGACACGCTGGTGACATCATCGGACAAGGTGGTATCGTGGATGAGGTCAGAGGAGGGCGGAGCCTACAGCGCCACCTCGATGTGGGAGGTCCCGGCAGCAGACTGGAGGTCCGAATCCACATATTGGTGTGGGACAATCCAGGAGTGCCGAGTTTACAGACAGAAAGTCTGCTAGAGGGATGGACTGTGATTCAGAGGTCACAGGTTCGATTCCCAGCCTGGACACAAACGTACGGCTTTATGCTGGTTCATTCAAATATGTCTCATTTATTATGTGAGTTTTACAACTGGGGGGTCTTTAGTCTTTATGAACGTGTTCATGAATATTATAATAACAATTTAAGAACTGACGGTGTGTTGATGTAATTAGAGACTACCTGGTGAACATAGTGAAAGAGACAGATATTTCCAGAGAGCGGAAACAGAGAGAATATTGGACTTTTTTTCCGCTGACACAAACATGGCTGCTAATGAACGGTCATGTTGCTCCGTAACTGCTGGATGTGCACGTATGGGATGATGATATAGGATGATTATATATCAGATGTTTCCTGCTGAAAACAGTTGGACAAAAACACAATTTAAAGAGTTTTAATTAGAACTATAAAGAACCAAGAATAGAACCCTGAGGAACCCCACAAGTAATTATTGACTCTCTAAATGAACAATCATGTTGCTCTGTAACTGCTGGATAAGAAAAAAAAAAAAAAGAATTACTACTCAAATTGTATTAATAATTAGTTACACTACTAGTTACTGGGGAAAGTAATATTATTACTGTAACATTAACACTAGTAATAAGTAACACTCCAACACTGGTTGCGAGGTCTTCTTGATTTTTAGGGCTGTAAAACAACTTTGTTTTATTTCATTCATTTCTGTGAATAAAACTGAATGAGATAGTGTATATTATTATTATATTATTATTATTGATCACAGTGTACAGTGACAGAGCTTCAGTCTCTGATCAACAGCCTCGTCCTGCATCAGAAAGCAAACAGCTGATAGATCAATGAGAATAAACAGTGAATTTGTCAGAAAGAAGAATGTTAAGTCTGATTGTTAAACTGATAAAAATACAGAATACAGACAGAATGTATCAATATATCAGGAAAACTAATCTCTGATCAATATTCACAGGAAATAATCAAACTTCCTGCAGTGATTGAGTTCACTGCATTGATCAGTTGATCAGCTGTTGTCTGCTGTTATTGATACAGATCAATAGAATATTATATAATATATAATATCAATGAGATATCTGTGTGTCCTTCACTGCACATTCAATTCAATGAGACTGAACCCAGATAAGCTGCAGGATTCTGGTTCTTTAATCTGATATGATCAACAGAAATTAAATAATACATGCAGAGATACACGTGTATCAGTTTATATGTCGTCCTTCAAAATGAAAAAAGGTACGAGTTCACTCAGCAAACACAAAACAAACACCATTTACAGTTTAGCCCCGCCCACCTCCAACCCCCCCGACGTCCCTCAGAAGATAAATAGAATAAAATATTCATGTTTGTACAGAAGAGTATAGATTGAACCAAATATACAGAGTGCATGCTTTTACCATGACAGATAGATATTCAGTGATCCATTTGGCAACTAACACCTGTGGACAGGTAACGCTGGGACGCGTCAGCCCACCAGGAGACGGGCAGACCGTTTAAAAAGGAACCAAACCACAGACCAGAACCTGTTCAGACCAGAACCTGTTCAGACCAGACCTCCAAACCAGAATAGAGAAGACCAGGACTACATGAAGCCTAGTGGAAGTAGTGAACAGACTACATTAATCTGGCCACAGTCAAAACCCTCAAAACTAATAATAATATAATTTTTTTTACAAACAATATAAATAATACATATAATTGATATATTGATCGACAGTTTATATATCCTGTGGGCTATATGCTCTGCAGGGTTGATTTATATTATTTCATTAATATTAGTTATAGATGACACTGCTGAAGCTATAAATCATTATATAAATTTAATATATATTTATTTATAATAAATATATTAAATATATATTAATTTAATATATAATATATATATATTTAATATATATATATAACAGTGAAAATAAAAACAGGAAATGAAAATGACCTGTTTTCTGCGTTTTTGTTTTATTTATAATATAAATGAGCTTTTTCCCCATTTTGATTTTCTCATTTCAGAACGAAAGACCGTAAACGACGTATCCACAATATACAGTAGAACACGTGAAAGTCTGTTAGTTGAGTAAAACATTGAGTGTCTGGTTCAGGGTTTCCAGCCTGGGGACGTCTCAGACTACTGGGAGCTGTATAATTCATAATGAGTTCACAGTCAGTAAACAACTGTTCCTTTGAAGGTGAACTCAAATGTCCATTCAGTCCTCAAAACTACGTAACATATAGGGTTGAGGTTGGTTCCTCTTTAAAGGTAAAAGCCCTTCAGGGACGAATGTGTTCCTCTTCTCAACCCAGGTTCTTTCACAGACGGTGGCTGAGACAGGACAAAAAGCAAAGCAGCCAGTCAGTGTGACCACACAAACAGCTCTCTGATAAGACCAGCACCCATATAACTCCTCAGACCAGGACCCGTATAACTCCTCAGACCAGGACCCGTATAACTCCTCAGACCAGGACAAGTTAGCGTAGCCCTGATCAACCAAACTCCATTCAGAAAACAAGCATTTTAAGAGTTGTTTGCTTACAGACCGTCAGACTCTGGTGCCATCATGATGTTGTTGTTATATTGATATATTGATCCGTTTATTGACATTAAATCCCAGAAACAGCTGATTCCCATCATACTGCCGCAGTGATACGGACCAGAGAGAGAATACTGACTCACGTTAAGTTAACGAACGGTGAAAACCTTCCAGTGGGACGTGTTTATATCGATAAGTAGTAGGTGGTGTATATCGAACGCCACCAGACTGAAGCAGACATAAACCTTCAGCTTCCTGTCTGCCTGAACTTGAACCTTTAATAAAGCTGATTTAAAGATAAACTCCACTCTCACTTCCACTGATTCCGTTCAACCTGCTGCAGCAACCAACTGAACCAGATTCTGCTTTCTCAAACTGCTGTGTTTGGCCCGTCTCAGCCACCGTAGATCTGTGTGTTTCTCTCTGAGCGGCCTCAGCTCTGCCTGCTGGGCTCATTTGTTTCCTCTCCAGAGACGTTTTTTTATGGTTTTGGAAGCCCCTGTACAAAAAGAGGTAGAATGTGTGGTTTCAGATCGGATGAAGGTCAAAGGTCAAATCTGGTATTTTTTTGGGGGGGTCTAAACACGGACTGCGTCTCTGGTGGAGTGGAGCAGTAAAGATGTCTGTCTATAAAAGGTCAGTGCACTCTGCAGCGAAGGACAGACAACGGCTCGCTGGTTTAAAAATAAAAGTAAAAAAACGGTTTTCTCTTATTTTTGTCTGAAAATGAAATAACTTTATGTTTTTTGTTAAAAAGTAAATGAAAACTGACCAGTTTTCTTTTTATTGTTAGAAAATAAAAATGGTTTTCCTTTTTAAAATAAAACCAAACCGAGCCATTCTCTGGTTTTTGTTCCCGGTTATAAATGGTTTAGTTTTTCTGATTTCTCATGAAGATCCGTTGGCTGCAAAGAACACTGACCCTGAAACCAAACTATGTACAGTGCAAACAGGAGATCATCATCACTGCTGAGAAAAACACGTTTTTACTAGAAGCTCATGAACACAACACGGGACTCACCTGCAGGCTACAGAGCGATCTACCTACGGCTGCGTCACACAGCCAGCGGGAGGCGACAGTAAAGAGTAGAAAGGATAAAAAACTCAAAGCACATTGTCTCTTCAGGCTCCCGTAGAGCAACCAGAACCCTCCCAGTCCTCCTCTGGAAACTGAGAGGGATGCAGAAGAAGAAAAACACCAGAGCGAGATTCTGTCCTCCATGCAGACGCTTTACCAAAGTTTCATAAAATACAATCAGTCGGCTCCGTCCTGAGCGTCCCGGAGCGGGAAGAGACCTCAGTCTGTTTGTCCCACATCAGAACAGACAGCAAGACGCTCACATCCCTCAGAGCCCAGTATAGGACTCTGATATACAGCAGTAACGAGGGGGGGGTATTAATACATTTAAACTGACACAATCATCCACTGGGAATATTTTCATTTCCTCTTTAAACAGTTTATATTTAGAAAATGTCAGAAATGGAATCAGGATCCTCAAAAACCTCCTTTATAGTCCCAATAATTTCTAACAGGAACCTCTGGAACAGTTCTGGTTATTGTCTAATCAATAGATTCATTTTGGGGTAAAATATTCAATTTTTATTTAATAACTTTAGTTACTTTGCAGATTGAAAGTCCATAATAAATGCTGAGGATTATTATTATTATTATTATTATTATTGATTAAGTGACCCAGCAGTATAAAGTTAACTCCTCCTCTCATACACCTACAGCTAGCTTCCAGGTGTTATGCTAAGCTACGCTACCAAGTGTCAGTAAACTACAGACTGATCGTCTGTTTGTGACCAACAGGAAGCTCAACCAAATCAATAAAAACCGACAGGTGACAGTTGAAAGGTCACCTGACTCCGCCTCTTCCTGCTGTCTAACTCTTGGTTACATGACACTCGTAGCTACATTAGCTCGTAGCTTTCTGTGAGTTAGAATGAACAACAAATAGAATACAAGTGGAATCGTCCTTTAAGAGCAGGTCTAAAGAAGAAGGTCTGTGATTGGATGTCATCGTCCAATCAATGCCACCGAGCTGTACGTCCTGATGTGGGACAAACAGCTGTTAGCATGTTAGCATGTTAGCATCCCAGCAGAGCTACAGAGTGGAGGATGGTTGTCGGCTCCGGGTGCTTCTGGTCTAATTTGGTCCCAATAAATGATTTCAGGTCATGGAAGGCGGAGCCTAAGGAGATAATTTGAGTGATTTCTGAAGCGTCTGCGCTCACTGGCAGTGGGTGGTCTTACTGGCAGGCTCCGCCCCCGGCGTGAAGCCATTACTGAGGTTGTTGGGACTCGGAGGCGTGGCCAGCGTGGGCGTGGCCTCGGCCCTGGAGGTGGGCTCTACCACGGAGTAGCTCTTCTGCGGCAGTCGGGGCTGGACCGGTGCGGGTTTGGGGACGACGGACGCTTGTCGCAGCCCGTCGACTCGCAGCGGCGGTCTGGAGGGGGCGGGGCCTGTGGGAGTGACATCAGAGCTGGGTGGTTTGGGGCTGCGTGGAGGGGAGGGGCTGAGGGCACTTTGGTCTCCAGGGTTTGACTCGTCTTCCTGCAGCGGCTGCTGATCTGGGGGCGGGGCCTCTTTGTCTGCAGGGGTGGGGCTTGTGGACTCAGGAGGCGGGTCCTGCTGCATGCTGCTCTGCCTGGAAGTACCCGAGCCCGGAATCTCGCAGCTGTCGGTACGACGCCGTGAACCCTCGTGCATACGACTGGTGGCCACGACGGCCTTCATGGCGGCCTGTAGACACACACACACACACACACACACACACACACAGAAAAAAAAACACTGCTGAAAACTATTCTAACTCAAACTTTACAACTCAACCTGGTTTGGTTTGGTTTGGTTGAATTTATTTTGTCTTTAGCTTCATTTCTCTTTTAGTTTTGTTAAATAAACGTAATGTTCTCCTGCTCTTTGTCCAGCCCTGAGCCGGGTTGTGACAAACAGGTCAGTTATTGTTTTTACAGTGCAGCTACACATAATGAGGACTGGCAGGAATCTCCTCACATCCAAAAAGAAGGAATGATTACGGACACGTCAGTGAACTCGTCACTCAGTGGTCGACACTAAGACGCTGTCGTCACCTTAAGTTTGCGTCGAGCGTTGAACTCCTGTAGTTTCCTCTGGGTGGTGTCCATGTGGGAGAAGCGGGCGGCTTTGCCCAGCACCCAGGGGTGCTGCAGGGCCTCCCGGACGTTGAGGCGCTTATGAGGGTCGAGGACAATCAGTTTACTGACCTGCAGACAAACAGGGACAGGACCGAGCTCAGGTCACCAGTCTGGGAAGGAACTCTTCAGGTAGCGGAAGTCTGATTAGCAATTAAATGTGTTGGTCCCAAGTCATCTGAGCAATATGAAAGACGTCCAAGTAGAGTCCTTCCTGACAAGTCATTAATCAGGTTCTAGTTCAAGTGTCAGGTTGTCTTGAAACATTCAAGTCAAGCCTAAAGTCAAACTTTTGAGGTTACTGATCTGAACAATACATTGGAGCTGTATTTTAGAATCAGTTCAGTGTCATTGTCTGAATAATTCTTCCCTGAGTCTCTGACTGTGTCTGTGCTGCTGCAGTTATTAATCACATTCATACATTTAAACTGACTCACAATGAATCAGGTCCAAGTTCAGTTTAAACTGCTTAGCAAGTCCGAGTCAAGTATAATGTCATCTGACACAACAAGATTTTTTTAAGGTTTCAAGTCATTCCAGACAATCCCTAGTCTTTCAAAACAAGTCCAAGTCAATTTTCAGTCTTAAGTCATTTAACATCCGCCCAAGTTGAGCATAAAGTAATTCCAGACACATCCAGGACACGTCCTCATACAAGTTCAAGAGTCAAGTCATTCGCAAATAAATCCAAGTTATTTGAGTCAAGTCCAACTCGAGTGTCCAGCTATTTGAAACAGATCCAAGGTCAGTCTCAAGTCCTTCAAGATAAATCCAAGTCATTTGAGACAAAGTTTCAAGATATCTCCAAGTCCAAGTCACCAGTCTGAGTCATTTACAGTCTTTCATATTGATTGATCATGTGAAATAAAATGTGTTCAGCTTAAAGTTCTACATGTCAGAATGTCTGGAGGAGGGTCTGAGAAACTCACCAAATCCTTGGCATTGAGGGAGACCTCGTCCCACCACGGTGACACAAACTCGTAGTCACAGTTGAGGATGCGGCTGTACATGTACTGATCCCCCCTCGGGTCGAAGAAGGGCTCGAACCCACAGAGTCTGGGGAACAGGTGCTCCAGTTCAATCAAGGGGTTAACTCATGACAAAGTGAGTGAGAATCAGAAAACTGACAACAGCAAACGTTACGTTAAGATCTCTCTTTAAATTAGTGAAGGCTTTCAACCAAGAAATGAATGCTGAAACAATAACCACTAAACTACTTTAAAATGTCCCAATTCTATCACATTTCCACCTGCAGAGCAAAGAGAACGCAGCAGTGTGTCTTTATGGACAGCAAACCCATTTGAAAGCACCATTAACACACTGATTAAAGTCAGATTAACAGGAAGCAGTGTTCATTATGTCATTGCTTTTAATGGCTTTATGAGACGGACGGAAGTCCAGAAACCTTCATCCATACTGACAGCAGTGAGTCAGTCCACTGTGAGTGTGTGTGTCTGCAGGGAGGTGTTAATGGACTCACAGGATGTAGAGGATGACGCCCACTGACCACATGTCCACCTCAGGGCCGTAGGCATTTCCCCGCAGGATCTCTGGAGCTGCAGGCAGAGGAGCTGTTAGCCACCAGATGGCTGACAGAAGCTCTAACTGAGAGTTACGTGAAATCCCACAGAGCTGTGGGGGCAGTAAACGCACCACGGCCTGGTAGGATATCACACTAACACTGAGGTCATTAAACACATCAGCGACTGCGACTACACCATCTACCACTGCGACTACACCATCTACCACTTCTACTACACCATCTACTACTACTGCAACTACACCAGCTACTACTGCAACTACACCATCTACTACTGCTTCTATTACACCACCTACTACTACTTATATTACACAATCTACTACTACAGCTACTACACCACCTACTACTGCAACTACACCACCTACTACTGCTTCTATTACACCACCTACTACTGCAACTACACCATCTACTACTGCTTATATTACACCACCTACTACTGCTTCTATTATACCACCTACTACTTCTACTACACCATCTACTACTTCTACTACACCATCTACTACTTCTACTACACCATCTACTACTGCAACTACACCCTCCAGTACTCGTAGTACAGAATGTAGTACAGTTAGTCCAGCTTTGTCTTGGTGTAGTAGCGGTGATAAACTCACCGCAGTAACCCGGTGTGCCACAGACAGTCTTCATGGTCACCTGGTCATCGATGATTTTGGAAAGACCAAAGTCAGCTGTAAGAGAGGAGGACATGAAAACATTGTTCATAGTTTCTTTTAACTGTTCAGGTTTGGAGATAAAAACCTGTTCCTGATGTGTTTCCTGTTTCTATTTAAAGTGGAGCGAGTAGGCGAAGCAGTGGAAGGTGGAGGCAGAGGAGAATGTGTCTCTCTGCAGGAAAGTCTCCGAACTAAAGGAAGGTGGTGGTGAATCTGAATGTGAGCTTCTTCCATCTGTTAGCCGGAGGCCCACCGGCCATCTGGAGGCTGACACACACTGAGGCTTCTCCTGGTCCGCCAGATAAACGGACCAAACATCAGCCAGCGATGGTTTGCTGTCTGTCCTGTTGTATGTTCAGCTTGTATGGACATACAACAGGATTATACCAGATGTAACAAGTAACATTCACAATACAAATACCTAACAAATGTTAAAAAGTCAAAGTAAAATCAATAAATATTTAAAAATAAATGTAAAATGAAAAAAAAAAAAAATTAATTAAAATATAAGTAAAATATCTGTATGTGTTGTTACCGTAATCACAGACTGTTCAATAAAGTTTTATTCAAACATGTTACCAATCTTCAGCGGAGCGTCCAGTGACAGGTCGGCGTACAGCAGGTTCTCTGGTTTGAGGTCACGATGCACAACGCCGTTCTCATGTAGATACTGCAACACACACACACAGTGCGAAAGCTGCTCATTAACAGTGTGAACTGCCTGTAGCGCCCCCTACAGGCCGCAGTGTTCGTTACAGTCACAACAGGAAAGTGTTGGACAGGTCTGCGGACAATCTGGCAGGACTGAACTGACAGATGGCCTTTTCCTCCAGCTCCCAGCATCCCCTGCTGCTCCCTCAACACTCACTTCCTCCCCTCAGATCAGAGAGTGCGAACAACAGATAACAGATAAATCACTCAGCAAGTCTTTCTACCAGTGGTCGACCGATACAGGTCTTGTACTGGCCAATACCGATATTTAGAGAGCAGAGCTGGCGATGGCCGATATATAATGCCGATATCAGCATCGGCCTTGTGAGCGCAGACATCGGCTGATACTGATCACCTCAAAATGCTAAATAATCAGCCCGATTAATCCGTCTATCAATACTTACCATTTTCCATCTCTCTGCCTAACGTCAACAGACTGATACTACTACTTCTCTACTGCTTTTTACTGCGTTTATTTACTGCTCTCTACTGCGTTTATTTACTGCTTTCTACTGCGTT